TGATGCTGGGGGCAAGGCTCATGGAGCAAGTTGCAAGTGACATCTACAAGACGGTTCAGGGATGGCGCTTCGGAGTGTTGCGACTGCAGGAGCGAAGATGCAACTTTGGGTGTATTTCGAAAGTTGTTTGATGCTGCTTTTGAGTTGTAATAGCCTAGACTTTTATGGATCCTCTAGTTTCTTCAGTAGCGTGGGACGACACGCGCTACTGCTACATGTTAGCTGTGACCCTCCCCCGAAACCCTTCCGCCCGCGCCGCCACCCGCGAGGCGGCCGGGGCGGACGCCTAGATCCACCCGCCGTCGGCCCCCCCTCCTCCTCCCTCCTCCCTCGCCGCCGCCAGGGGGCGCGGCCGGGCAAAGCCCGACCGGCGCCGGCGCCGGCGGGGCGTCTCCTTCCTCCTCCTCCGCGTGAGATGGGGCGGCGTGGGCTCCTCCTCCGTGTGCGGACGCGGTGCGGGCGCGGGGCACCGCAGCGCGGCGGCGCGCTGCCCTTGGCGGCGCGTGGCGTTGCGTGGCCGGCCGCGCGGTGGGGCGCGTCTCGCCGCGGTGGCCGATCCGCCCGGCAGACGGCGCGGGCTGTGGGCGGCGTGGGCGGCAGCTGGGGCTCGGCTTCGGGCTGCCGGCGGCTGCGCTGGTTTACTATCCGTCGCGGGCGTGCGGCGGTGGTGCGGTTCGGCCGATGGCGGTCCGGCGACCTGGTGGTGGTGGCCGGCGATGCGCGTGGTGGTGGTGCTTTCACTTGACGGCTCTCTGTGCGAGGAGGCAAGGGAGCGGCTTGGACAGGGGCGGCGGCGTCGACGGCGTGCCGGCTGCAGCTCGAAGGCGGGAACTTTACGGGCCTTAGAGATCCCGGCCGGGCCTGTGCATCCACGGGCCTGGTATGTTCCTACTATTGCGTTCGGTCAGCTACCGGCTTCGACGGTGGAGGTGGGGCCCTCCCGCGTGCCGACGTTGCTGCTGCCCTAGTCCCGGCTCCTCTTCTTCCTTGTGCGGACCATGCTTCACGGTGCCGTGGTGAGACGGCGTGGGAAGCTTCGTGACCGGGTTGGTGCAGAGTAAGGGTCTTTGTGGTGGCGAGCTCTGGAGTGCCTAAGGTGGAGGTTGGGATCGGGAGAAATCCCTGTTGGCTTGGCCGACACCGATGCGGTGGCGCTTGTGGGTACCGCCTGACCTTCCTGGAGGGCGTCGGGGCTACCCTTCCTCTCTCCTCACAGCGTACCGGGGGAAACCCTTGGCAGCAGCGTCGTCATCGTCGCGTCCCTCCTTGGAGTTGCTGATTGGTACCGGTGCTTCGGAGGCTCGGAGCTTGGTGGGCGTTCTTCGGTGGGTGCAGCGGCCACGAGGCTTCTTCGTTTTGTCGATCTGCCGTTGTTGTCATTTGTTTCTCTTGTATTTTTTCTTCTTTTTTTTTGGGCGTGACTGTGCTGCTTCCGCCCCAGCACCTATCGTGAGATGTATCGGTTGGTTGCTTTGTATACAAAGCGGGGGGAAACCCTTTTCCGAAATAGCGCGGCACCCCGCGCTACTGCTAGGCTTTTCCCTAGTAGTGCTCCCACTAGTAGAAAACGGGCCTTTAATCCCGATTCTGGAACCGGGACTAAAGGGTCGGGACTAAAGGCCCCCCTTTAGTCCCGGTTGTATTACGAACCAGGACTAAAAGCCCTCCACGTGCCCGCTGTCTGGAGCTCGACCTTTAGTCCATTTTGTTGAATTCGTTTGGAATTAGATTTTTTTTTTGAAATTTTCTAATTTCTGAATTATTTGCATTTAATCTCTAATCACCCATCATCGCTGCTCAATTTAATCTCTAATCTCTAACCACCCCTCATAACTTCCCGACCGGTCACCCATCCTCCCACTACTCCAGCTTGAGCACACTTAACTTTTGAGTTCTTTTCCCCCTTGTTTCCAAGTCTGCACTTATTGTTTTCCTTACAATAGTAAGCTGTCAATCATATTAACCCTTAGGAGTTGAAGTTGAGCAAGAAGTCACACGTTACACCCTTTGACTTTGAAACTACTATTCTTAAAACCAATAATTATTTAGTAGCACTAATATTTCTTGAATAAATAGTTTGATCATAGTTTGACCAGATTTGACCAAAATTAAAAAAAAACAGAAATAATTATTTAGTAGCACTAATATTCTTGAATAATTATTTAGTAGCACTAATATTTCTTGAATAAGTAGTTTGACCATATTTAACCAAAAATTCAAAAAAAACTGAAATTTGAGCATAACTTTTTTTTCCTTTTAGAATTTGAGAATTCTAAAAAATTCCAAAACGTCATATGGCTGTCAAAACCGGATGCGGATTTTCGTGTTGAACATTTTTATATATTATACGTTTTTTCGACATCGTATGCAAAAGATATAGTCGTTTTCCTTTTTCATCACTCTTTTGCAAAACATGTCCAAATTTATATTTTTTTAATTTTCCTAACTAGTACATGTAGTAACATAACTACATCTCGAAGGATTTTAATGTTTGAAGTTTTTATCATTTTCTTTTGTTTTTTTCTAACCTGCAAATGGCGATAGGGGTGGGTAGAGTTTGAACCCCTTCAGTCCCGGTTTGAGACACGAACCGGGACTAAAGGTCTAATCTCTAGTCCCGCTTTGAGATATGAACTGAGACTAAAGGGCATCGCACCCTTTAGTCCCGGTTCGTGTCTCAAACCTGGACTAAAGGTCCCATTTAAACCAGGACTATTGCCTTCCTGACGCCCTAGCCGCATGAACAGGGACTAATGTGTACATTAAGAGTGGACGAAAGCCCTGTTTTCTACTAGTGCCCCCAAATCGATGCTGATGGCCGGATCTAGGAGCTGCCGTTGCCGTGGCCTGGCCCAGCACGGCGTCGAGGGGATCCTTCGCACGCCAACGGTGCTCCGCTGCTCCTTGCCAAGCGCATCACCCATGCTGGCCCGCGCTCTCGGCGAGCGGGAGTACGGAGCGGCGGCGCACATCACCACGCTAGCAATGCATTCTTTTTTCTCTCTTATAGAACTTGCGCTTTAGTCCCGGTTCGTGTCTCAAACCGGGACTAAAGATTAGACCCTTAGTCCTGGTTTGAGATATGAACCGGGACTAAAGGGCATCGCACCCTTTAGTCCCGATTCGTATCTCAAACCGGGACTAAAGGTCCCATTTAAACCAGGACTATTGCCTTCCTGACGCCCTAGCCGGATGAACCGGGACTAATATGTACATTAAGAGTGGACGAAAGCCCTGTTTTCTGCTAGTGCCCCCAAATCGACGATGATGGCCGGATCTGGGAGCTGCCGTTGCCGTGGCCTGGCCCAGCACGGCGTCGAGGGGATCCTTCGCACGCCAATGGTGCTCCGCCGCTCCTTGCCAACCGCATCGCCCATGCTGGCCCGCGCTCTCCGCCAGCGGGAGTACGGAGCGGGGGCGCACATCGCAACACTAGCAATGCATTCTCTTTTCTCTCTTATAGAACTTACATATGTGCCCGGGTCCACCTTCCAGCGACAAAAAGGCAAAGCAAATTATCAAAATATTTTGCCGTTAAAAACACACATTTGAGTTTCTTCATCAAATCTCATACTACTTTTTCGGTAAAGGATCAGATCAGTATAGAACGTCTCAAATATAATAAAAGACTACACTGAGATTTTGGGACCACCGAACGACCAATGCTGTCGTCAAAACGAGTCACCGATGCGCCGTTGTCATCGCTTTTTTACCGGAGCCGGCTTACATTGCCAATGACATTCGGGAAGTGTTCGTGCACGTACCCTAAAGACCAGCACCCCGGAGCCACAATCGTCTACATGGATCTAAAGCACCTGACACCAAATCTCACCACATGGCGAGAAACCCTAACCTCATCATCCCAAGAAGACGAATGGATCCACGCCAGAGCTCATCGACTACGTCTAGACGGATGAACTCGAGGAGAATCGAAGCCCGGAAGACAAACTCGACAAAGAAGCGCCGCACCTGTAAGGACTAAAAATAACCTAACATAAACTACTAACCGGAGCGAAGGCACTAGGATTCACCTCCCTGCCACCGATGGCGGAGCAGCGGTCAGAGGGGAGGTGACTCCATGGGCTTTCTCTATCCACCCCTGGACTCTTTTCCACAGCCGATCTTTCAAACCGTGGGCTGCCCCAGCACGGCGGCCGGGTAGCCACCGCAAGCGGTGCTCCTCCGCTCCTCGCAGAGCTCATCGCCCACGCTAGCCCGCGCTATCCGCCGGCGGGTGTACGGAGTGGCGGCGCGCACGGCCACGCTAGAATTGCGTGATTTTCTTTGTTTTGGCGAAATGTTATCGGGTCAACGTCAGATATTTAGACATTCCCAGCAAACTACTCAACATCCGTTGGATCATGTTGCACGAATCTTGAAGTAGGCCGCTTGACACGTCAGCCGGAAGCAAACGTTGGCTTTGTTTGCTTCCTGCCATGAACTCACACCCTAGTGTCATACCACTCGACCTTATCCTATCACCCACACGCGCCCGCAACTCCAATCCTCATTTTGTCATTCACTCTCACCCTCCTCATCGACGACCGTGGTAGGGGCGACAAAATGACGTGGCACCTCATGCGCGGTGGGAGGCGATGGTGGCATGGCACCTCAGTGTATCGGAGTGGCTCCTGCGGGGAGCTCGAACCGGTGGCGCCGCCGACGCGCTCATCCTAGGGCACATTTCGTGCTCCGGTGTCTCGGCCAGATTACAGCGGCGTTGGTGTGCGAGGTGTCAAGTACGAAAAGGCGGTGCATGCCACGGTGTCGGGTCTTGCAGCTCCGCGGTGTCACCATCTACTGTCGCACCAGCACTTGTGGAGGACAATGAAGCGGAGACCGGGCAACAGTGAGCACCAGCCCCCCTGTTTTTCCGCAATTTTCCTAGAGTTGAGTTTCGCATGTAGCGACTCATATCCCAATGTCTACTTCATCCAATTCACAAAACATGTCAAATTCGTTGAGATGTGCGTGTGGCAACTTGAAATGATTAAGATGTGGTACTAATTATGATGTATGGCAGTTTGCTGGGAATTTGCAGAAATGATTTCAAGCCCAAAAGGTTTGTGCGAATATAACTTTTTTTTATAGACCAACTAACAACGACTACAAGCACTGAAGCGAGCCGATTGAAATCGAACGCCTAGGCACCCACCAATTTTTCTATAAAGTTCGTAAATTCCAAGAAATTTGACTTAGGACTTAACTTAGAACTTGAGGTGTGTTGGAACAGAGGGGGCAACACACACACCTGTCAATGAAATCGTAAAGTTGGGCAACCAGTTCACTGAACTGATGGGGTTTGTGTTTCAAAAAGGTTTTGGTCAGGAGGGTTCCGACCAATAGAAATACTGGTTTGAAACATATAATATGCCAAAACAAATCACATTCTATAGTAGGAAAGGAGAAAAGGCCAGAGAAATCCAGAACGTAAATCTTCACATTTGTGTTATATGCAACAAATAATGAACCAAAAGAAGAAGAAAATCATTGCAAGGAAAAAACTGTTAGTCTAGTCTCCGAAGTGTTAGGATGAAGAAGGTCGTGTTTCCTGATTCTACCGATTAGACCATTCATTTACTTCTTCTTCCTCTTGCGGCCAATCGATGCCGGTTTCACGGTTGGCGAGAGTTTCATTTAGGAGCGCCGTGATCTGGTCTCCGGTCAGGGTCTCGTGCTCCAGGAGGGCGACAACGAGCGCATGGAGCTCCCGCTTGTGCGCCGCTATGATCGTCTTTGCGTTCTCATAAGCCTTGCTCAACAACTCTTTCACCTCCTGGTCCACCATGGTTGTCGAGTTCCAGCTCATGGTCTTGGCGTTCCAACTGCCGTCGTTGTTGTCATAGGAGACAGGGCCGACCTGCTTGCTCATGCCATACCTGGCAACCATGTCCGTCGCCAGCTGGGTCGCCTCGCCCAGGTCAGTCAGGGTGAGGGAGCTCACCTCGCTCTCACCAAAGATAATCTCCTCAGCCGCCCGGCCTCCCATGAGGACATCCAGTCCTGCCTGCATCTTTTTCCTTGAGAATATATACTCATCGCCCTCCTCCGGCAGCTGCCACACCATGCCAAGAAAATCACCCCTGGGAACAATGGTAGCCTTGTGGACGGGATCAGCGCCATCCATATGGATAGCAACGATGGCATGCCCTGCCTCATGGTACGTGGTCATCCTCTTGCAGTTATCAGGCATCGCCACTGATCTGCGCTCACCGCCCACTAGAATCCTGTCTGTGGCATACTCCAGGTGATGCGTCGCAACAGCTTCTGCCCCGTCCTTAACAGCCTTGAGAACGGCGTCGTTCACCAGGGTTGCCAGGTTTGCACCTGACAACCCAGATGTCCTCTTCGCGATGGTCAGAAGATCCACATCCTTGGTTTTCAACACCTGCATCAAAAATTTCATGGAGAAAAGGTTGTCATTAGAGGCTGCCAAGACGACGCCTAATAATATTTTTAAGGATGTGGAGTGCAAACCTTTGACATATGAGCCTCAAGGATCTGCCGTCGGCCCTCAACATTTGGATAATGAATCTGAATGTGACGGTCGAAACGCCCAGACCTAACAAGGGCTTGATCCAGTGACTCGAGGTTGTTGGTCGCCGCGACCACGATCAACCCGTCATTCTGCTCCAAGCCATCTAGCTCGACGAGCAGCTGATTAACGGTGTGTCTGTGCGACTTTGAATCTTGCGAGCTCCTGCTCCCAGCAATGACATCAATCTCATCGACGAACACTATGCAAGGAGATCGCTTCTTTGCTGTAGTGAAGAGCTCCCTCACCCTTTTAGCCCCAGCACCCACATGCTTCTCCTCGAATTCGCTGCCTCTGCACGTGAAGAACGGGATGCCGGCTTCCCCGGCCATCGCCCTTGCCAGCATTGTCTTCCCCACGCCAGGCCCGCCGACTAGCAGGACACCTCTTGGAAGCTTGCCGCCGAGGTGTGCGAAACGCTTGGGGTCCCGCAGGCACAGCAGTACGTCCTCGAGCTCGGCTTTCGTGTCATCCACTCCCTTGACATCACTTAACTTTGTTGTGCTAGTAGAATCCTTCACCTCTTTTTTCGAACCATCAAAGCCACAAGCCAAGAAGGTACGCGAAAGCTGCTTCCTAAGTTTGGCAACAAATCCTGATGGGTGCAAATCCTGTCGATTTGTAAGCATACCAGCACCTACGTATACAGAAAGAAACTTATGAAAGAGTGAGTGATAGATAACTGTCTAATTCAAAAACAGGAAATCAAGTCAGGGCACTAGTTGCCACTTGCCAGTAACCACCACATAAATATTTCATGCATATATCGTCTTACACTAATAATTTGCAATTTAAGGGTCGGGCAAAGAAAGAAGCAAACCATATATATACCTGCACCTGTAGTGGTTGCATCCGCAGCAGCAGGTGCTCCGAAAGGAGCCGCGCTTTCCTCCCTTTTAACCGTGTTTGTCGGTCGATGCGTCGCAGCAGCCTGCGACACAAACACGCGCACAGATTCAGTCTTGCAGAACAGGGTGTTATTTGTGCAGGGCTAGCAATTTGGCAATCCGTAAAGCGGCATGGCATTGACGCCCAATCCAAAACGCTAGTAAACCAAGCAACCCCACATCTAAAAAAAGGTGTCCGGCATCAATCTGAAACTCAAACAGACAGTATACTTTGCATCAGCTGCGGGGTTTCAGCACCGATGTTGCATCAATCAATCAACTACAGAAAGAAGAACAATCGTTCCTTTTATACTATACAACAGCCTCATCAACGCCAAGATTGATCGAATAGTAGAGCAACAAAAGTAACGCAAGCTGGGATGAACACACGGAAAGAAAGAAAGGACCTTGGGGTGGGCGAGGCGACAGCAGGCCATGGTTGCTCGAAACCTTATTATTTGAGCCCGACAAACGAATCGCTCGTAACGTTTCTAGTAGTTGCTCCTCAAATTCATAGCTAGTTCGCCCCTCAAATTCATAGCTAGCTCGCCCCAATATTTAACTGCCTCCCACGCCACTGCAGGGGCGGAGCCAGGAAATTTTGCTAATGGGTTCGCTAAGGGTTTGAGTATGAATTAACTATTGTATGCAGTGGTGGAGTTTGCTAGAAATTTCCAATATAAGCTCGCCAAAAAAATAACCGATCCAAGGTTGGGGGCCAATGCCCCCCTCCCCCCTCATAACATTATTCGATGGGGTCATTCTAGACTTTCTATTGGGTTAAAGTCAAGCAAATACGTGAAAAATGTCAATGGTGGCCGCGCTACAGGCAGGCCGGAATCCCATGCCGTCAGGCCACCATTGGGATCCGCGCATGCAGTGTATTGGATTGTAACTAGAGGAAGTTTGGCTCAAACGGCCCGCTCTTCTTAGTGCCACACGCATTGAGACGATGTCCAACCACCCCACAGTTCGTACATTTCGGCAATTTCCTTGGAGCCTTCGGCAAATGACCTCTTTGGGGGCGGGTTGTACACCTGTGGCCCTCCGATATGCACCAGCTTTGTACAGAGCTTCGCCAAATTGATCAAAATCACCCAGGTGTAAACCTTACTTGCATATGCCTCTCGATTGGCAGGTTAGCTCTCAAAGTCTCAATGAAACCCTACTCTGCAAAAAAAAAATGTTCAACACCAAATCAGAATGAAACCCCACTCACGCTCGATAGCTATTTTTTCGATCCTTTTACCCTAGCAAATAAATTTCAGTTACGTTAAGAATTCAGGGCAAAAAAAATATATTCTATAAGAGTAACACAAAAACAGGAAATTTTAGTCAGATTCGTAATTCAAGCCCAAAAATGTATACTATAATAATAGCACAACCATCAAGTCTTTGTTAATTACTTAAGAGCTGATTTGTTGTTAAATGTTTCGATCCGCTTCAGTATCGCAGTTAAAGAACGTAATGCACCACTGCCAACAAATTTCAGTAAACTAACCGATGGGTCAATAAAGATAAAAACAACTAAATCTATACATAATGTAGACTAACAGATACGCATGACCACGGGTGTATCACTGATTGCAGAAAATAATGGTTTTGGATTCATGGCACAACATTTGGGTTTGATTATAATTTATAAATAAACCAAAAGAAATTGCCTGAACCCTAAAACCTGATGTGTGTTCATCCAGTGCACATGAGTTGTATGGTAACCAGCAGAACAAAGATAAACAGCATGAACCCTAAATCAACTGAAATTATCCTGTCCCGGATTCTTTCTGAAATCTGATTTGAGCGGTTGATGCATGTGTTTGCTCTGAACTCTAAATTATTCTAAATTCAGTGAGACATAGTTATAGTCTGAACTCTAAATTATTTTAAATTTAGTGACACATAGTTCATCAGGATTTCACAATCCAGGACCAAAAAATCCTATACTATACCACCAAAAGTCTGGTGCACACTAAAACAAATTTAGTGGTCAATCCTATACTACACTATTTCAAAATCCATATGAAACAGCAACAGTTGTCAATAGGCCAGCTTGTAAACGGTTCATCTTTACACTATCTCAATTTGAACGGTTCATTAAGAATAATCACTAATCAAGGTTTAATAGCACATGCAGTGCAAAAAGTTGAAACTGTATGAATTAGCACCCCAAAGAACACATGTTGGAAAAAATTAAGCCGATCTGGCAAATACGCATGGGCATGAATAACATTTTCCCCTCATGATTATCCGCCACATACATCATCTAAAAAACATCACAGGAAATTCGGATTTGCAAAAGAAAATCGCATATGTACAGACTATCAGAGAGCACTCTATTCTGGGTTCATCAACACAAATGATATACATCTCGATCCATCCATGCAGCCAAATCAGCCATGCCAAAGCAATAGAAGGAACAAAACTAAAATCGCCAAAAACATGCAACTCTAGAACAGATGAACACCAGCTAGGTGAAAAAGCATAAGTACAGAACGTGTGATTCAGCCTCACCGAAACAATGGAGAAAATGTTTTTCCCCGGCCAGATCCGTGGACGAGGAGGACCTTACCCTGAGCAGATCCGGTGTTCCGCAAACTCGAGGTGATTCGGCTGCCGGAGTGGAAGATGACGCTGGATCCGGGTGGTTTGGCCACCAACGTGGAAGAGGACGAGCGCTCCGTCCGTCGCTTCGGTCGGGGAGCGCGTTTGCCGACGATAACCACCGCACAGACGAGAAGAGAGGGAGGGGGGAGGAGGGCGAGGGAAAGAGAGTGCGTCACCGGAACAGGAGCTCTGGTCTGGTCCACATGGTAAGGCAGGAGGATGGGTTCGCATGGGATTCCTTCACCTGTGCCGTTTCGAACCAGCACCCATAGGCCAGTCTTTCTGGACGCACGCGAATAGGCAAGTAGTATGGGCAGAATAGGATACGCCTAGGCGTCCGATAGCTGTATCCCAGACCGTATTTCAGCTAGTAGGCCTGGCGCAAGCCTGCCACACACTGACACATTACAGATCCCCAAGCCCAAACAAACGGCCGGGATAGCGGCCTGCCTGTAGCGCGGCCGCCAAAAGCCCTCACCCAGCAAATACGTACCTATATGTAGGTGGAAGATAAAATTCATTGGGTTCACCTGAACCCAACCTTTCTACGCTGGCTCCGCCGCTGCGCCACCGGATCTCCGGTCCGACTCTGCAACACACACTTGCACCCGCACGACAACGGCAACGGCAAAGGGCTTGCTGACCTCGTATCAGAGTCGAGGAGCAGTGCTCTAATCCGACTAGGACATGGAGAGGTTGGAGACGGAGAGGAATCCGAAGCCAAGAACCGGGAAATTTCAGCGGACGACTACCAGTACCGGATCACAGAGGCAGCGCCTAGAGGTCTGATTCGAGATATAGCTGGCCAAACGGGCCGGGATAGTTGGGCCGGCCCGGTAGCACGGCCGGCACGACACGGGCCTGACACGGCACGGCACGTGCTAAACGGGCCGGGCCTGGCACGCGGCACGCCATAGGCCGTGCCTGGGCCTGAAGGGCGAGCACGCGGGCCGGCACGACACGGCCCGATTAACTTTTTTATATTTCTTTATGTATCCTAATATGGGCCAATAGGTAAAAATAGGCTAAAAAACGCCCAGTGTGCAAAATAGGAGGTAGATTAGTGGGTCTGGCGTGCCGGTGGGCCGGCCCGATTAGCATACGGGCCGTGCCTGGGCTGCAGGCTGCAGCACATGGGCTGACACGGCACGACCCGTATAATAATCGTGCCTAGGCGGGCCGGGCCGTGCCAGGCACGATTAGGATGGGCTGTGCCGTGCCGTGCCGGGCCGGCCCGTTTGGCCAGCTATAATTCGAGACGCTGTGGGGTATAGTCTGGAGAGGAGAATGAGCGGGAGTTCTCATCTGCGGCGAACGCACTCAGGTCACCCTTTGCTTTGGCTCCACCACCATGTCGCCGCCGCGGCGCCGCCTCCCCCAAATCGAGGCTCGTGGACGGATCTGGGCGCTGCCGTTGCCGTGGCCTGGCCCAGCACCGCGTCGAGGGGATCCTTCGCACGCCAACAGTGCTCCGCCGCTCCTTGCCGAGCGCATCGCCCATGCTGGCCCGCGCGCTCTCCGCCGGCGGGAGTACGCAGTGGCGGCGCACGTCGCCACGCTAGCAATGTTTTTTTTGTTCTTCTCTTATGACTTCCATATGTGCCCGGGTCCACCTTCCAGCGACATAAGGCGGGGCAAATTATCAAAGTATTTTGAGTTTCCTCATCAAATCTCATTCTTTTTTTTCGAAAAGGATCAGATCTATATAAAAGTTCATTGACCCCACATATATTTCTCCCCATCCACTCCGACCTGTCCGGATCCGTCAACTGGGGGATCATCCCGTGCGCGTTGGAGAAGGCAATGGATGTCCGCATTGCACTCCGCCGTTCTTGCCGGGGGGACAGCGCCCGACCGACGGCAGGACCTGCCCGACGCGACTACATAGCATCCGCTCAACGCGCGCTCGAATCCTCTCGGGCTAGATCATCGCGGTCCAGGCAGCCTTCAAATCTCTCCTCCCCCATCACCGGTTGACCGGAGTATGAGTTCCTCCGCCGCGGGAAGGAGAGGGCAAATGCCGCCGACATGGAGACGGCATAGGCGGCTGATGTGGCAATCGGGCAGAGTGTATATAAATAGATAGTGACCGGGGTCGGAAATTGGTAACCAACCATGTGATCGATGCTAGAGCCATGCATGCATGCACGTGGATGATCACACATGTGACCGGGCGACAAACACACGACCAGAGATATTGAGCGGGGAATAATGATTAGGAACATATGGTGGGAGATATTTGGCGGAAAACACATCGCGGGAGAAGCAACCAGGATAACAAGGTGGTGTAAATTCTATGACTATGGGAGTATTTCTTAAGGTTTATTCTCCCAACATAATAAAATTGTATCAATAACTATATCCTTCTAACTCCTCGCCGACGCGCTAATATTTCTTTGGTGATGATTATCTTTTGATTTCTGGTGACACAATAATAAAACTTATTTTGTCTACTGCACAATCATCATCTTCATCTCACAGCTCACTCCAACACAGAGAAGCCCCGGCGCACCCTCTCCTCCAGACTCACACACATATCATTGCCTTGCCTTAACTCGGGACATCTTTGCCAAAATGAAGAATAAGATGGGCATATATTCAATACTTGTTGGCCTTGGAAGTTCATGGCGGGAGATATTGGGTTACGAGAAATAAGCTAAAAATTAAACAACTGGTTGACCCTACCGATCGTGTGGGGGCCGACTTGCATGAGGCCATCCCAAAGTGTTAATAACATAAAATAACTATCGATCGACATGCCGTGGTGCACACCAACAGGTGACCGTGATTCTTCCGTTGATGCGTGCAGTCACGTGTTTGACATGCATTAATTGTAGAGAGAATTCCTTATTTAGCCCTTTCTTAAAATTTGCTTCCCTTTCTGGCCTAAAAAATATTTTTCTTTCCTTTTTGACACTCAAACTTCATTTTGTGCCTTATGTGACATTTCCATCCATTTTTCCATCCAACTCTGTTAAAC